TATTTTTAGTTGTCCAATTAATTTCTTTCTAATTTTAGTAGAGACGGGGTCTCACTCTTGCTCAGGCTGGTTTCAAACTCCTGAGCTCAAACAATCTGCCCGCCTCGGCCTCCCAGAGAGCTAGGATTACAGGCGTGGGCCACCGCGCCCGGCCGATTAAATGAGTTCTTGGGGTTTGTTTTGTTTGTTTTGAGATGGGGTCTCACTGTGTTGCTCAGGCTAGAGTGCAGTGATGTGATCATAGTGCACTGCAGCTGCGAAATCGTGAGTTCTACCTTATCCTCCTGCCTCAGCCTGCTGAGTAGCTAGGACTACAGGTGCACACCACCACACCCAGCTAATTTTGTTGTTGTTGTTTCGTAGAAATGAGGTATCACTATGTTGCCCAGGCTGGTCTCAAACTCCTGGACTCAAGAAATCCTCCTGCCTCGTCCTCCCAAAGTGCTGGGATTACAGGTGTGAGCCACCACACCTGGCCTTTGCTGTTTTTTAACTCTTTATTTTGAAAGCATTTCAAAATGATAAAATAGTGGTACAGTAAACTCATGTATATTCTTCACTGAGATTTATAATTTTTAACATTTGACCTCATTTGCTTTATTGCTGAACCATTTAGGTGTAATTTGCAGGCTCTTCATCCCTAAATAATTTCTAATTTGATGATTTACTAAAAACAACTACATTTGCTCATGTAACTACAATACAATCATGTAATTTAGAGAAGTTAGCATTGATACGATATTTTCTGATATATGGTCCATATTGAAATTTGCCAGTTGTCCCAATAACACCCTTTATAGAATTTCTTTTCTGTTTTAGGGTCTAGTAACACTCATTGTATTTAGTTTTCATTTCTCTTTAGTCTTCTTCAATTTCGAATAGTTCCTCATTCTTTCTTTTCTTTTATGACATTTTAAAATTTTTAAAGAATTTTATTTATTTATTTTAGAGATGGATCTTGCTATGTTGCCCAGACTGGAGTGCAGTGGTGCAGTCATAGCACACTGAATGAGGCCTTGAACTCCTGGCCTCAAGCCATCCTCCTACCTCAGTCTCCAAAGTAGCTGGGGCTACAAGCCACTGTGCCTGGCTTTTATTGACATTTCTGAAGCAAGGCCAGTTGTTTTTAGAATATCCCTCAATTTAGGTTGGACATGATGGCTCATGCTTGTAATCCCAGCACTTTGGGAGGATGGCTTTCACCCCAGAGTTCAAGATTATAATGAAATATGATCACACCATTGTACTCTAGCCTGGGTGGCAGAGTGAGACTCTGTCTCTAAAACAAAATAAAAATTAAAAAATAAAAACAAATAGGATATCCCTCAATTTAGGTTCTTATGATTAGATTCAGGTTATGTAATTTTTGGCAGAAACACTACGTAAGTTGTGTATCTTCAGTCCCCATCCATCAGGATGCATATGATGTTTTATCCTCTTATTGGTAATGTTAGCATTGACAACTTGGTTAAGGTAGTTTCTGTCATATTTTTGCAAGTTAAAGATGCTTTTTTTCCTTTTTTTTTTTTTTTTTTGAGATAGAGTCTCACTCTCTTGCCTAGGCTAGAGTGCTATGGCGTCAGCCTAGCTCACAGCAACCTCAAATTCCTGCGCTCAAGCTCCTCCTGCTTCAGCCTCCCGGGTAGCTGGGACTACAGGCACGCGCCACCGTGCCCAGCTAATTTTTTCTATTTTTAGTTGTTTGGCTAATTTCTTTCTATTTATAGTAGAGATGGGGTCTCACTCTTGCTCAGGCTGGTCTCGAACTCCTGAGCTCAAGCAATCCTCCCACCTCCGCCTCCCAGAGTGCAAGGATTATTTTTTTTCCTTTTTAATTAAAAAGTAATCTATAAAAATCCTGCTCCTGAGCAAATTTTAATGCCTATTAATTTTGCCCAAATCCCTTATTACTGTGAGGCTTGCAAATGTTGATGTTCTACCTACCATACTTTCTACATTTTTAAGTTAGCATCCTACTATAAGGAAGGTCTTTTTCTCCTTCATTTACTTAAAATTTTTAGCATCAGTTTGGTCTCAGATTGTTCAGTTATATCCATTACTGTCATTATCCTTAAAGTGTTTTGTTGAGGTATAATTTACATACAGTAAAACACACAGATCTTAAGTGTGCAGCTTGATGACGATTTTTATGTAAAAATGCCACAGTAATCACCATCTAGGTGAATAGAACATTTGCAGCACATCAGAAGGCTCCGTCCTCTTATTATTTTTGTTCCTGATTTTGACCAGTGGAAACCCGGTTCCTGTGTTTTTTTTTTTTTTTTTTTTTGAGACAGAGTCTCGCTCTGTTGCCCGGGCTAGAGTGCCGTGGCGTCAGCCTAGCTCACAGCAACCTCAAACTTCTGGGCTCAAGCAATCCTTCTGCCTCAGCCTCCCGAGTAGCTGGGACTACAGGCACACGCCACCATGCCCGGCTAATTTTTTCTATATATATATTTTAGTTGTCCAGCTAATTTCTTTGTATTTTAAGTAGAGACGGGGTCTCGCTCTTGTTGAGGCTGGTCTCGAACTCCTGACCTCGAGCAATCCTCCCGCCTCGGCCTCCCAGAGTGCTAGGATTACAGGCATAAGCCCCACTGCGCCCAGCCTTTTTTTTTTTTTTAAAGACAGTCTCACTCTGTCACTCAGGTAGAGTGCAGTGGCATCATGATAACTCACAGCAACCTCAAACTCCTGGGCTCAAGCAATCCTCCTGCTTCAGCCTCCCGAGTAGCTGGGACTACAGGCACGCACCACCATGCCTGGCTAATTTTTTCTATTTTTTGTAGAAATGGTGGGGGTGGTCTCCCTCTTTGCTTATGCTGGTCTCGAACTCCTGAGCTCAAGCGATCCTCCCGCCTTGGCCTTCCAGAGTGCTAGTATTACAGGCATGAGTTACCTTGTCCGGCCTCCTGTGTCCTTTCGATACGTCCCCCATCATTCTTTACTTTCTGGCACAAATTGCTCCGGACTCATCTCGTACTTTCCCACTGAAGCCTGGAAATTGGCCATTTCTCCCAAGGTGCCGTGGTTCCTTTTGATGCAGGGCGTGCCCCGATAAAGGGAGGAAAGCCCCCTGAACTTGCCAAGTGAGTTCCTGGCTTCATGCAGGAATGAATTAGAGAGTAAGCCAACTAGCACATTAAGTTTATTGAGATAGAGACAGTCAATAGATCCTACTCCACAGAGTAGGGGTCCTCTCCTGAGCAGGAGGGGGACCGCTTATGGGGCAATGGTAATGTTTTTGTGTGTTTAAAAACCCTGTTAAGGAATAGTCATATGTGACCATCATTGTATAAGCTCAGGCCATAAAGGTTAATCATAAATTGCTGTCACAGAAAGGTAAGTACAAACTGTAAGGCATGTGGCTTAGTAATTCATCCATCCTCAGGTGGTCCTGGGCTGACGACCTGCTCTCTACTTCCCTATTCAGGGCGATTAGTGTCTGGTATGGGTCAAAATGGCTGCACTTGGGAGCTCTCCACCTTTCTTTTCTCCTTTATTCCTACATTACTTTTACTGGGGACTGTTATCTAGAAATCAGTATGTAGACACTAGATGTACTCATTCTACTGGGATGTTATTGCTTCTGGGCCCTTTCAGAGGTCAGAGCTAGAAAATACCTAATTTTGTCTATTTTAAATCTATTTGTAATCATTCCTTCAATTTCAATCATAGGGTTCTTCATTGCCTTCCCCAATTCCAGATTCCATATCCCACACTAAGAACCTTGGCTCCCAAGTACATCAATATGTTTACAAACTTACTCGATTCCAGAATAATTATCCCATTACATTAGGTTATTAAGTATGAAATGTCCAATTTCCTTAAGTTTGACAGTTGATATCTCTGACATTTCACTTTGACACTTGTTTGTATTGTGAAGGTACATCCTCAGTCTTTCAAACACACTACAGCTTGTGATTATCTTTCACATTGTTTTTAAGAGCAATTTTTGTGAAACCATGGAAAAGTAAAACATTTGTGGCTGGGCGCTGTGGCTCACGCCTCTGATCCCATCACTCAGGGAAGCCAAGGCGGAGGATTGCTTGAGGTTAGCAGTTCCAGACCAGCCTGAGAAGAGCAAGACCCCGTCGCTACTAAAAATAGAAAAACTAGCCAGGCATGGTGGTGCGTGCCTGTAGCCCCAGCTACTCGGGAGGCTGAAGCAGGAGGATCACTTGAGCCCAAGAGTTTGAGGTTGCTGTGAGCTAGGCTGATGCCACAGCACTCTAGCCCAGGTGATAGAGCAAGACTGTCTCAAAAAAAAAAAAAAATTTGTGTTCTTTTCGAATATGAGTTCTGTCGTGGAACCAATGCAGCACAGACAGCTTGAAATATCAATGAATTGTTTGAGAAGGACGTGGCTAATGAAGGCACAGTACATTAATGATTTGAGAAGTTCTGTTCTGGTGATTTTAATCTTCAAAATAAGCCACATTGGTGACCTGAGACCAAGGTGGATAATGATGAGCTGAAAGCTGTAGTGAAAGCAAATCCATCTCAACCTATGCATGAATTAGCAGCAAAGTTTGATGTTACTATTCCAACAATGTTGGACCATTTGAAACAAATTGGCAAGGTAAAGAAGCTGGATTAGACAGGTTCCACATCAATTAAACGAGTGTGAGAAGAGAAATTGTGTAGAAGCTTGCCTTTCTTTACTGTCACGACATAAAGGCAAACCATTTCTACACGGTATTGTTACGTGTGATGAAAAATAGATTCTTTTTGACAATTGCAAGTGTTTGGCACAATGGTTGGATAAAGATGAAGTGCCGAAAAAGTACAAAACGGAATATTCTTCAAAAGAAGGTAATGGTATCTGGTAGGCTGGCGCTGGTATTACCACTGCAGCTTTATGAAACCTGGTCAGTTGATTACAGCGGATGTCTACTGGACGAAATGATGAGGATGCTTGCGATTAAGCAGCTGAGATTGGTCAATAGAGACAGGCCAATCCTCTTACAAGACAATGCTCTACCACCTGTCATACAAACAACGCTGCTCAAACTATAGCAGCTGGACTTCGAAACTCTCTCTGTCATCTACCATATTCACCAGACTTTGCACCAACTGATTACCACTTCTTCCAGGCTTTGGACCACTTCTTGCAAGGAAAAATATTCAATTCTCAACAAGCTGTGGAAAATGCCTTTCACGATTTCATCACCACTCCTTCTCCAGGCTTCTTTGCTGATAGTATAAACAAGCTACCATTAAAATGGCAAAACTGTGTCGATAGTTTAGGCGCATACTTTGATTAATTGTACTGCTTCGTTTGAGATATAATAAACTATACTTTTGATTCAAAATCTGACATTTCATATTTAATGGCTTAATATATACTACCAAATAACAAACTTACTAAGTTCAAGATTTCGTTACAGTTCTTTTGTCTTTGATGGTATAAAATGAAAGCACTCCATTAAAGTTACTTGGATTCGTTTTTCTCCCCTTATATGGTTGTGATCCCAAAGTGTCATATCTAAGATACCTGTTGGAAGATTAATTTATTGTTCCTGTTTTGCTGGAACATAACCTCCACAACAGTATGTTGTTTTTTCAGTTGTTGTTCGTCTAGCACCTAGGTCTTAGATGTTCAACAAATATTTGTTAAATGAGTCAGTGAATGCCAGGTATGAGCTATGCCCTGAGAAGGCTTACGAAGTTGCTCCTAGCACAGTCGCACAACTTGGCGGATTTAGAACAGATCGTGAAACACCCCTAAGGCTTTTGGGAGAGAGTGGAAGACTGGGAAAGTGTATAATCCCAGATGGTAAGCACTAGAGCTTTGGAGGTATTCAAGAGGATTTGGAGCCGCCACAAAAGGTCTCTTGTGGCCGTTTAAGTCCCGTCAAGTGGCGGAAGTGGGGTCCAAGCTGCGTGAGCCCAAGCATTTTCAGGGCTAGAGTCTGCCCCTCAAGGCAGACACTTTGTATCAGGCTGCTAATATAAAAAAGAGCTGAATTCAGATAGAGAATGCTGGGAGGAGACTGAGGGGGCCCTGCCCAAGTCCAGGAACTGGACGCGATATAAGGTCTTGCATCCCGGCTGCCCAGAGGTCACGCTTCCGGGTAAACCTAACTTCCGGGTCCCATTCCAGGCCTCCAGCCCACTTGACAACAAGCTCCGCCCTCTGCGGCCCCCGGCAGATGCCACGCGCTGATTGGCCGTACTTGAAACCCTGTCCTGGCGTCGCGGCCTTAGATAACTCTGAGCCCCAACGCCCTCTCCAGCCCGGGACTCACGGCTTGCTATTGGACTGCCAGTTTCCAATCGGAAGGGCTTCTGAACCTCAGTCTCAGTGCAGCGCTGGCCATTGGCGGACAGGATGGAGGCGGAGCCTTAGGTCGTCGCCGGCGACGCCGGCGCTAGGGTAAGGGACGATAAGGCTAACCCCTTAACAGAGCAGTCTCGCGTCGACCTGGCCTCGCTGTCTGCCCCCGCAGGTGAGCCTGCGCGAGACCACCGTCCTCTGCCGGCGTCCGCCCAAGTGCGCCTGCGCGGCAACAGCCGCTTACCCTTGTCCCCGTTCCTCCTCCTTCCTGGGCACCTTTTTCCTTCCCTTCCCCCGTCCCCCTCCCTGCCCCGCAACCCCTCCGGTCTCCTAAGCCCTTCTGCGGGGTCTTCCCAGTCCCAATCCTTCCCCTACCCCGCCCCTATCCCCCAGGACCCTGGCGCCCCAGCCGCAAGGGCTGCGCCTCCGGGAGCCGCGATGTGCATCGTCTCAGAGCCTGTGGGCCTCTCTGCCCTCACTGCCCTCTGTTTCCTCCGCACAGGACCCCACCTCCTTCAGAATGACGCTGGACGTGGGGCCGGAGGATGAGCTGCCCGACTGGGCCGCAGCCAAGGAGTTTTACCAGAAGTACGACCCTAAGGACGTCATTGGCAGGTGAGGCTGCGGCCAGGGAAACGGTGGTCCGTAGAGATCAGGATCTAGCCAGCATACATGGTTACATTTGAGGGCTGGATAGTTCTAAATGGAAAGGGACAGTGGTCAGTGGAGAACATTTGGTGACTAGACTTTTATTTTGGGTCAATGCGTTCAACAAACATGGTTGAAGCACCTACTGTGTGCCTGACACAAAGCTAAACACGGAGAGGGTAGAAAGATATCTATGCCCTGGAAGTGAAGTGGCTGAAAGAGGCACCTGAACGTTAAAAAGGTATCAGGCTAGATAGGTAGAGGACTGTATAAAGTGCTATGGGATTCCAGAAAACCACAGTTTCCCAGAAGGAGTGATCTTTGGGCTGAGTCTGAAAGTGTGAGTAGGAGTTCAGCATGTGGAGAATAGAAGAAAGGCCTCACCTGTAGAGGCAGTGGCAGATACATTTATTTATCAAAGGTTTCCTAAGCACAATGTGCTGAGTACATTATGTTAGGCACTGGAGGTACAAGACCTGTAAGGTTCCTGTCCTTCTGGAGTTTATATTCTGGTGGTAGAGACAGACAGTAAACACAAAAACAAGATAAAGATCAGTGTAAGTGCTAGGGAGAAAATAAATAGGACAATGGAAGAAGAGTAATTAGTGAAGGCCACTATAGATAGGAAGGCCTGGGAGAGCTTCTCTGAGGAAATGAGTTTTGAACTGAGACCTGAAGGATGAGAATGAGTGGGTCATGAGGTGAGGCAGGATATATTCTGGGCAGAGGGAACGGTAAGTGCAAAGCCTCAAGGTAGAAAAGGCCCTATTCAAGCAACATATGGAAGATCATGGGCCGGGCATGGTGGCTCATGCCTGTAATCCTACCACTTTGGGAGGCTAAGGCAGGAGGATTGCTTGATCCCAGGAGTTTGAGGTTGTAGTGAGCTATGATGATGCCACTGCACTCTAGTCCAGGTGACAGAGTGAGACCCTGTCTCAAAAAAAAAAAAAAAGATGATTATAATGGCTAGAATGTAGTAAGAGTGGGAAAAGGTGGGAGAAATTAAGTTGGAGTGGTGAGTAGAGATTAGATTATGTAGGGCCTTAACCACAATAAGGAATTTAAATTCTAGTGAAACTGGATAGTTTCAAACAGGGTTGTAACATGATGTGATGTATAGTTCTGTGATTTGGGAGCAAGGAACTTAACCTTTGCCTGTGCCTTAGTTTCTCCATTGTAAATTTGGAATAAAAATAGAACCTACCTTATAGGCTACAGTGAGGATGTAATGAGTTAATACGATACCTTTAGAACACTTCTTAGCACATGGTAAGCACTTTTTGTATAGAGAATGGATAGGAGAGGGGTGAGAATGGACATTCATAGAGACCAGTTAGGAAGCTATTGATTTATTCAGGCTAGAGATTGTGATAATTTAGATTAGAGTGGTGGGGCTGGGCTCAGTGGCTCACACCTATAATCCTAGTACTCTGGGAGGCCAAGGCGGGTGGGGGCGGGGATTGCTTGAGGTCAGGAGTTTGAGACCAGCCTGAGCAAGAGTCAGACCGCCCCTGCCCTCCACCCCGTCTCTACTAAAAATAGAAAAATTAACTGGGCATGGTGGTGTGCGCCTGTAGTCCCAGCTCCTTAGGAGGCTGAGGCAGTAGGATCGCTTGAGCCCAGGAGTTTGAGGTTGCTGTGAGCTAGGCTGACGCCACGGCACTCTAGCCTGGGCAACAGAGCAAGACTCTGTCTCAAAAAAAAAAAAAAGATTAGGGTGGTGGTAGTAGAGATGGAGAGAAGGGATAGATTTAGGCGATGGTTTAGAGGGCAGTTTGGTACAACTTCCTGAAGGATTGGATATGGACCCTGAGGGAAAGGGGAAAAAACAAGGATAATTTCTTGGGTTTGGATTTGAGCACTTGAGTACCATTTCCGGAAATGAAGAAGACTAAGAGAGGGTCAGATTGAGCAGTGGGGAGAGCAAATCAAGAGTTCTATTTTAGAAATGTTAAGTTTGAGATGTCCAAGTGAGAATATGAGGGAGAGAGCTGGGCTAGAGCTATAAACTTGGGAGGCATTAGCAAGAGAGGTGGAAGGGCCTAGCCTCAGACCCTGGGGCATGTCACTATTTAGGGGTCAGTTAGAGAAGAAAGAGCCCAGCATGGGAGACTGAGGAGATGCCATCTGTGAGTTAGAAGGAAAAATACAAGAACAATGTGCTTCTGGAAGGTTGGCATGGTGTGCTGTGTCTAATGCTGCTGAGGCCAGGAAGCAGAGAGTGGTGTGACCATCAGATTTGGCTAGGCTCCTTTTAGGTATCACATGAAGATGTCAATGAGGCAGTCAGAATCAGGAATTCTGGAGAGAAATCAAGGCTGAGACAGTGTAGCAGGAGTCATGTGCACATGGTACGTATTTAAAGCCCCTGAGTCTAGGTAAAGGTCACTAGGGGAGAGAGAGTATTGGGAAAAGAAGAGAGCCTAGACCCAAGTCCTGAGGCACTGCAGGGTTTCAAGACCAGGTAAGGGAGGATGCAACAAGATGGACAAGAGCCTGTAGGAAAGAGCCAGTGACTCCACTGCCAAGGGGAGCAGAAAAACCAGTTTTGGAGGAGGCAGATCAGAGGGTAGGGTCCTTATTGTCTCATTGCAAGATTACTATGGTAGCATCATCCCTTGTCTTTGTCCTTTCTTTTCCCGTTTCTTTTTCCTGTACAGTAAATTACTTGCATACTCTCACTAAATTACTTTTCCCAGAATACCAGTTTCTTCATAAAGCTTGAAGCTTTAAAAGAGCTTGGCACATTCTGGAAATTGGTGACAAGTTATAAGTCATTGAAGCAAAGATTGTAGCTAGACTGTAGCAGGACTTTAGCCAGAGATGAGGCTGAAAAGAGACTGAGACCATTTGGTGAAGGCCTTGAGTGACTAATGAAGCAATTAGGATTTGATTTTTATCTTGTAGGTGTTAGGGAGGTGGTGTGGAAAAATGACAAGAACTTTGTGTGCACGCCATAATTACCCATAAGATTGAAAATATTAGGTATCATTAATAAAGAACACAGTCACTCTAGGAGCCCTGCCGAGGAATAAGGGAACACTTAGAATTTGGAAAAGAATATAAACTGGGAAGTTTTAGAACAGTGAGTGACATGATTGGGGCTGTTTTAGGAAGCTAATTCTAGAAGCAGTGTGGCAGATCGGTTGCAGGGGCTGAGATTGTCAGCAAAGAGATCAGTGAGAAAGCTATTGCAGTTGCCCAGGTGAGAAAGATAAGGGCCCGAGCCAAGGCAGTGGCAGTGGGGGTGAGGCACTGGGGCATAGATTTGAGAGCTATGCAGAATGGACTAGATTGGTCGGATGTGGATTTTAAAAGAGAGGGAGAAGCCAAGAATGGCACCAAGGTTTCTAGATTTTGAGTCTAATTGGATGGCAACACCATTAATCGAGATCAGGAAAATGGTGAGGGGAGCTGGTTTCAGGGGAAGATGAGATGTTCAGTGGTCATGATGCATGTGAAATGTCTCCAGGATCCTCAGGAAGAGATGTCCAGTAAGACTTGTTGGCCTGAAACTTAAGAGAGACATCTGGGCATGAAGGTTGATGTCATGGAGGTACACAGGATTACTGAGAGGGGGTGTATATAGCCTGAGAACAGGGCTGAGGATGGGACCTTGGGGAAGTCTGATATTTAAGAAGTGCGCAGTGGCTGGCCGTGGTGACTTACACCTGTAATCACAGCACTTTTGCAGGCTGAGGCAGGAGGATCACTTGAGCCCAGGAGCTTGAGACCAGCCTGGGCAATATAGCAAGACCCCATCTGTACCAAAAAATTTTAAAAAATTAGGCATGGTGGCACGTACCTGTAGTCTCAGCTACTTCAGCTACTCAGGAGACTGAGGCAGGAGGATCGCTTGAAGCCCAGGAGTTCAAAACTGCAGTGAGGTATGATCGCACCATTGTACTACAGCCTGGGCTACATGATGGAGGAAGACCCTGTCCTTAAAAAAAAAGGAGAAGAAGGCACAGAATGTACCAGTAGAAAGAGTTTGGACTTTTTTTTTTTTTTTGAGACAGAGTCTCACTGTGTTGCCTGGGCTAGAGTGCTGTGGCGTCAGCCTAGCTCACAGCAACCTCAAACTCCTGGGCTCAAGCAATCCTTCTGCCTCAGCCTCCCTAGCAGCTGGGACTACAGGCAGGCACCACCATGCCCGGCTAATTTTTTCTATATATTTTTAGTTGTCCGATTAATTTCTTTCTATTTTTAGTAGAGATGGGATCTCACTCTTGCTCAGGCTGGTCTCGAACTCCTGAGCTCAAACAATCCGCCCGCCTCGGGCTCCCAGAGAGCTAGGATTACAGGCGTGAGCCACCGCGCCCGGCCAAGAGTTTGGACTTTTAACCTAAAGACCTGGGTTTCCCACACTGTCATAATATGGAGTAGGAAGGCTGAATTAATTACGAGTAAATGCTCTTGGGGGTTAAATGTTGTGATATACCAGAGGAGGGAGTGCTTCTTTCCTACTGGAGAGTAAACAAAGAATTGGTGAAGGTAGCATTGAGTTTGGGCCTTAAAGCAGGGATTCTTAGCTGGATGGCTTCTGGGGGTCTTTGAACCCCCTGAAATTATAGAAATATATGTATGTGGTAGAGGTCTCCACCTTTCATCAGATTCTTAAAAAGGCTCATTAAAGATGAGTAATAATTAGAACATGAGCCTCAAACTCGGACGCCCTTAGTGGTTGGGCAGGAAATTAAAACTGTAGCTGAGTGTAGTGGTGCGCACCTATAATCCGGGCTACTTGAAAGGGTGAGGCAGAAGGCTTGCTTGAGCCAGGATTTCAACACCAGCCTGGGCAACATAGTGAGACCCTGTTTCAAAAAAATAAAACTGTAAAGTGGCCAAGAGTAAGACAGGAAGTGGTGAGTACTGTGGCAGCTGGAAGGCTTCTTGTCCCACCAAAGACATGTGAATTCAGATTTGTAAAAAAATCATGTGCTTGTCAAAACATAACACATCTACGGGCTGTGTTTGGCCTGAGGATCAATAGTTTACATTCCTTGATTTAATCAGAGATGCGGGTGATAGAATTCCAAACAAAGGGAGTTATGTGATTGAGGCCAAAGAGGCCCATGAGAGCACAGCAGTAAGCCTCTTTGAGGGGCACCTGGCAAACCAGCATCAGAAATGGGGTTCAATGGGAGGCTGCGGCAGGATGATCGCTTGAGCCCAGGAGTTCGAATCTGCAATGGTGTATGATCATGCCCCTGCACTCCAGCCTGGGCGTCAGAGTGAGACCCGTCTCTCTTTAAAAAAAGAGAGAAAGAAATATGGTTTGAGGCCAGATCCTGGAGGGACTTGCATCTTAGCCTGAGGTATTTGTAGGGTCACATGGAATTGGGAAAAGAGCCTATGCAAGGAAATCCTTCTCTAGGGCATTCTCTTAGGAAAGCCAAATAGGCTCTCCTTTCTCTACCTCATTCATGCCTTTCAACATCCGTTCAAGATATTGTTGGCCACATTTCAGAGTTGCAGAAGCTAAAACCCAGAGGTCTTATGTGAGTGGACCACTTGGAGGCTCATTGTGGCAAATTTGGGTCCTAAACCAAGGTCTAGTTCTCAACTTTGGTTTTCCAATCAATAACTCCATATTTATTTGGAGCCTTCTACACTTGAGGTGTTGTAGGGGAACTTTGGGATTTGGATAGAGTCATCAGGGAAGTGTGAGTGAAATATGGAGGGAAACTTAGATTTTACCACTTCCTGCAAGGGGCAGGTTCTGGGGCATAGTGTGGGAAGAACTTGCCTAGGATTACCCATGGAGGGAGTGGCAGAGCCTGGATTCAGACCCAGGTCCCCTGCCTGCCTGCCCTGTGAGAAACTGTAGGAGACTCGTAGGAATCAATGAGAGTGACTGGGGAGAGAAGCAGAAAGGCAGAGAGATAGAGATGGAAAGGGGCAGACACACTTCCTTGCCAAGTACCCAAGTCCTGAGGCTACTGTGAAAGCCGTGGTGAGTTCCTAGAGTTGCCCTGTTGTCCAGATGGGTTTTCAGAGTCTGGTGCAACAGGCTGTAGTCTGTGCAGAGATGAGAGTTCAGAAGGCCTTGACTTGTGCTGTTGTCTGGCTCTGGCAGAGGAGTGAGCTCTGTGGTTCGTCGTTGTGTTCATCGAGCTACTGGCCATGAGTTTGCAGTGAAGATCATGGAGGTGACAGCTGAGCGGCTGAGTCCTGAGCAGCTGGAGGAGGTGCGGGAAGCCACACGGCGAGAGACACACATCCTTCGCCAGGTCGCTGGCCACCCCCACATCAGTGAGGCTTCATTCCTTGCTCCTGTTAGATAACAACCCCACCACCTGCTGACCCTGCCCACAGCCCATTTCCCCCAGCATTGCCTCCACGCCTCTCCTCCCTTCTGGCTCTGTTCCACCTCAGGGAGTGGCCAGCCTTTGGGTCCCTACTGCCTCCTTTGGTTCTCCTTCCTTCCCAGTAACAGCCCGAGGCTGCCTCAGGGTGGCAAAGCCCCTATGAAATGTATCTGCTCCTTTCCATCTCTGTCTCTCTGCCTTTCTGCCTCTTTCCCCAGTCACTCTCATCGATTCCTACGAGTCTTCTAGCTTCATGTTCCTGGTGTTTGACCTGTGAGTATCTCCTTGCCCTGATCCAAGAAGCCTCCTCCCCACCTCCATGTATGGCTGCATCCATGGAGCCTCACAGCACAGTGGGCCAGACCCACCCTGCTCACATCTTCCTCTGCTTCAGCTGGGCCTCTCGCTGTCACCTTGGCCTGCCTGCCAGCCCATGGCTCTGGCCCTCTCCCTAGGTGCCACGATTGAGGCAAGTTCTTCAAGAGTAATAGTGACCAGTCAAATACAAGGAGTTCGCATGACCGAAGGTGTCACTGTCCCAGTGTTCCCCAAGGTTATAAGGTGAAGGGGAGAAAAAAGCTCTTTTAAGAGGAGAGTGTTTAGCAAGGAACTGACCACTTATAAAACACATCCTCACTCTGCAGTCTCTCTCGTGGCTTAACACACTACACTGGTGTCAGTCTCTCTGCCCATCACTTTTTCTGGTCAGACTGAATCAGTGTCAGATGTTATGCAAACAAGTTGCAAAGATATTTCAAAAGAGAATGATTTGAATACCAAAGATTTAAGAGAGGCCTTTGGAAAAAATTCATGAAGGTTTCAATGTATTTATTGAAATGACACTCCACAAAAGTCAGAGGGGAAGTAGGGAGTGTCCGTTACACGATCGTGCCCCTTTGCAGAACAGTGACACTCCCCCAAAAAGCTCCTGATGTATTCTTTGTTTTGAGGATTGATGCAGAGTCGCAATGATAACTTCAGTTTTTGAAAAGCTTTATTTTTAATGGACACGTAATTATAACCTCAATGTTAAAAAATAGATAAAATTTCAAAATAAAGTCCTATTTAACGTTTTTGCCACTATTAACTGAAATTTTGGTCCATGTTCTCAATAGATTCACTTTCAGAGGCCTTTTTCAGGTATAGTTATTCTCAGATAACAAGGACTTCCTGTAAATTATTGTCATAAGAAGTCACCATGGGGCATAGTGGCTTGCACCTATAATCCCAACTACTCCCAGCTATTCAGGAGGCTGAGGTGGAAGGATCGCTTAAGTCCAGGAATTCAAGGCTGCAGTGAGCTGTGATGGTGCCACTGCACTCCAGCCTGGGTGACAGAGTGAGACCCCATCTCTTAAAAATAAAAATTACTTAGTCTTGCCAAAATTGTCCCATCATGGCACAGTGCAGAGATTTCAACTGCCAACCCTCTGGGCCAAATTGCCCCTGGCATCTGATTTACTCTTAGAGTGCACTGTCTTGAGATGGAGAGGAATTTCTCTTCACTGGCCTCCTCCATGATATTTTATGTGAGCACTGGCTTATTTTCTCAGCCCCTGGTGTGGGGTGCATCTACCTCCTATGCCCCTCCTATCCCTTAGGATGCGGAAGGGAGAACTGTTTGACTATCTGACAGAGAAGGTGGCTCTCTCAGAAAAGGAAACCAGGTAATGGCTGGGCTTGCAGCCCCTGGGGTGAGCAGGGAGTGGGGTGGAGCAGGGAGGAACAGAGGAGGAGACTGCACCTCCCCCAGGTCCATCATGAGGTCTCTGCTGGAAGCAGTGAGCTTTCTCCATGCCAACAACATTGTGCACCGAGACTTGAAGCCTGAGAATATTCTCCTAGATGACAATATGCAGATCCGACTTTCAGATTTTGGGTTCTCCTGTCACTTGGAACCTGGCGAGAAGCTTCGAGGTGAGGGGATCTGGTATCCTAACAGACTAGGGAGGGAAGGAGACCCAGGCATGATGAGGTTGATTGCCTGGGTCTGAGTACTGAGTCCCAGGTACCAAGGAGAAGGGAGAAGTCAGTGACCACTTGCCAAGTACTCTCTGGGTGCAAACTCTTGTGTAGAACCCCGAGTGGGCCTCCTGACATAGGGAGGAGACAGACAAGTGAGTGCACAGCAGGCAGAGGGCATGCCAAGGAAGCCAAGAGGAGGGAGCACTGATTGAGCCTAGGAGACCCATGGAGGAGGGGCCTCTGGGACTAGGCCTTGTCCCAGGAGGAGAGAGAGTAAGTGGTGGGTGGGGGATAGCAGGGTTCAGCAGTGTATTTAGGGGCTGGAGGAGGCAGGACCACAGTGTGCTTCTTAGGTGCTGTAAAGAGCCTGATGTGTCTGTATAGTGCTTCTCACCTGGGGCCCTGGGACTCAGGCTCACCCAATGTTTTTTTTATTTTTTTATTTTTTTTTATTTCAGCATATTATGGGGGTACAGATGTTTAGGTTACGTATGTTGCCCTTGCCCCTCCCCCCCGTCCGAGTTTCAAGTATGTCCATCCTTCGGATGGTGCGCATTGCACTCTTTGTGTATGCATATACCCGTCCCCTTCTCCCCCTCCCCCCTCCCCCCCCACCTGACCGACATGCAATAGATGTTATTCTTATATGTGCACTTATGTGTTGATCAGTTAATACCAATTTGATGGTGATCACCCAATGTTAATACCTTTGTTGTGACAAAAATATTTCTAGTGCAAATGGGAAACTTTAAAGTGTAACTGTGGGATTCCTCAGAGCTTTTAATATGCTACTGTCTCTCCTTCAGTGGCTTTGCACTGGACTTAATAGCTAACATTCACTGGGCACTTACTATGAGGCAGGCACTACACAGTCTTTATATAGCTTATTTCTCCAAATCCTCTCAACAGTCCTATGTGATAGATAGTATTTGTGTCTCCTTTTCATAGATGTGCTTCAAGAGGTGAGATGACTTGTCCGAGGTCATTTTGCCAGGATTTGAACTTGGGCAGTCTGACTCCAGAGCTCATGTTTTTAACCTGTGGACTTACACGTCTTGTGGATGTTATGCCTTATTTCCTTTTGGGCTTCCACATAGATTTCTCCTCTTTCTGGTATCATCTTTGCCCTTGCCCACTCTATCCTCTCCCTTGGCTTGGGTAGTTCAGGTTTCACTTTAAACCTCCAAGACAGGTTAGGTCTCCCTGCTTTTTGTTCTTATATCTTCTCCCTTCATGACACGTCTTGCTCTATTATTTCTCATTTGCTTTCTGGTAGACAGTCAGCTTGGTAGGGGCACATCTGATTCACCACTGTGTCTAATATGGTGCTTGGCATTCAGTAAATACGCGTTGTAGAAATGAATTTCCCAAGTGAGTCAGTTTCAATTCAGGCCTATTAAAATCTCCTGGAAGTGTGCCATGAAACACAGTTTGGAGACTGCTGGGATGGAAAAATTGGTGCCTGAAGTGGTAGAAGAAACTAAAAAAATAGACTTGGATCAGGTTACTCCTCCAGCTCTGTGCTGGAGGAGTCCTAATGCCATGATCGGGAATCAGGGAGGGGACTTCCCAGTATGTGCTGTAAGAAATCCTGTATTTCCACTGTTCCCCTTGGGTTGAGTGGTGCTTCCACTAACCAGAGTGGAGATATAGGAGGAGGAATTTGGGCAGAAAGGAATGCAGGAAAGATTTAAATTTTGTTTTCCATATGTATCATGTGTGTAAAAATGAGGTAACAAGTTGTGTGAGGAGTGGGCAGGCTGGCTTGGCTGGAGGTTTGTAGGAGGCAAGTGATAGGGTTAGGTAGGACCTTGAAATCGATCCAAAAACCAGGTTTTCCTAGGAAGGCCACCAGGAGCCTTGGTGGGTATTTGAGTTGTTCAGCAGGGAGAGTGTCTAGTACTGAGACTTGGCAGAAGGCAGGTAGGAACAGAATGGCAACACTGGTGGCCCTGGCAGTGTTGAGGAGGCTCCAGCAGAGATCAGTTGCTAAGAGCCCTGGAGAGGGCTGGGGACATCCCCTCAATCTTGGCCCTCTTTCCCCAGAGTTGTGTGGCACCCCAGGGTATCTGGCACCAGAGATCCTTAAATGCTCGATGGATGAAACCCACCCAGGCTATGGCAAGGAGGTCGATCTGTGAGTTTCTGGTGCTCTCTCCTTCTGTGTTTACTGTCCTTCAATGTGTTTGCCTCACCTCGTCCTGCCTGACTCTGATCTCTTTCTCAGCTGGGCCTGTGGGGTGATCTTGTTCACACTCCTCGCTGGTTCGCCACCCTTCTGGCACCGGCGCCAGATCCTGATGTTACGCATGATCATGGAGGGCCAGTACCAGTTTAGTTCACCCGAGTGGGACGACCGTTCGAACACTGTCAAAGACCTGGTGAGCTGGGGCTGTGAGAGGACAATGGGGGAGGTCCAAGAGTTGCCCCTCATGCTCTGGGGTTTCTCCTAGATCTCAAGGCTGCTGCAGGTGGATCCTGAGGAACGCCTGACAGCTGACCAGGCCCTACAGCACCCCTTCTTTGAGCGTTGTGAAGGCAGCCAACCCTGGAACCTCACCCCCCGCCAGCGGTTCCGGGTAAGCCTGATAGTGTCAGGGTCTGGGTCTGGGCCTCTGTCCTGTGATCTTTCCCCTGTGCCGAATGCTCCACTGGAGCTCACACTGTCCCCTTTCCCAGGTGGCAGTGTGGACAGTGCTGGCTGCTGGACGAGTGGCCTTAAGCACCCATCGTGTACGGCCACTGACCAAGAGTGCACTGTTGAGGGATCCTTATGCACTGCGGTCAGTGCGTCGCCTCATCGACAACTGTGCCTTCCGGCTCTATGGGCACTGGGTGAAGAAGGGCGAGCAGCAGAACCGAGCCGCCCTCTTTCAGCACCGGCCCCCTGGGCCTTTCCCCATCATGGGCCCCGAAGAGGAGGGGGACTCAACTACCATAACCGAGGATGAAGCTGCAATGGTGCTGGGCTAGGACCTCAGCCCTTGGGGAATCCCAGAAAGCAGAACTCTCCAGGAGAAGGATTTTGATCATTCCAGCCCCTGTAGGCTCTGGCCTCAGGCTCCTCTGCCTAACCAGGCCCACTGCTGATCATGCTACTATCTTACAGACCAGCCCTGTACTCCTCCTCCTGCCAGCCAGGGCTTTGAGATCAGAATTGGGGTGGAAGGGAGCCACTCCAAATGCCATGGCTGGTTCTGTCAGTGCTGCCTGTGCTGTGTCTGAAATAAATCTGCTGCACGCCAGGGAGAGTGGGTTCCCTGTGTCTGGTGTCTGGCTAGGTCAGGGAAGCCCAGAAGGTACTCAGGAGTGGGGACAGGGATGGGGCCACTCTGGCCCAGGCCTTTATTGGGGAAAATGCTGAGGATCACTTAGTCTTGTTCTTGCCTTTGGCCAGAGGTGGCTGGAAGGGCCGCTCTAGTGTGGTCAACTTGCTGCTGAGTCTTTCCTCGCTGGCCTTGAGCCTCTCCTCTACCAGCTGTTGGAGCTGCCCCAGCTCCTTGTTCAGCTGGGTCTTGATATAGGTTTGGAGGATGTGGATCTGGCCTGCAGGAGAAAAAAGGGCAGGTCAGGAGAGGTGCTGTGTGGGGATGCGTGTGCCCAACCCCCAAAGTGCCCCTAGGGAGATACGCAGGTGGCCAAGTTTCAATTTAGGAAATGTTGGCCAGGCGTGGTGGGTCACGCCTGTAATTCTACCCCTTTGGGAGGCTGAGGCAGGAGGATTGCTTGAGGCCAGGAGTTTGAGACCAGCCTGGGCAACATAGCAAGACCCTATCTCTACAAAAATAAACAAATAAAATTAGCCGAGCATGGAGGTGGCACGCATCTATAGTCCCAGCTACTCAGGAGGCTGAGGTGGGAGGATCCCTTGAGCCCAGGAGTTCAAGGTTGCAGTAAACTATAACCAAGTTACTTCACTCTAGAGCTTGGGTGACAGAGTGAGACCTTGTCTCTTAAAAAATAAAAAAATAAATTAGGAAATGTCAGCTGGCCCTCTGTGAGAGACAGCTGGGCAGAGTAGCTATGCTGGACTTTCTGGATTCAAATTCTGATTTCCACTTAGTAGCTATATGACCTTAGGCAGGTTATTTAACCTTTCCATGTCTCAGTTTTCTTGTGTAAAATGTGGATAGTAATGACACCTAGCGCTTAGTATTGAAGGAGGATTAAATAAATTAATATATGTAAAATGCTTAAAACAAGGCATGCCTGGTGCACCTGTTGCCAAGTATGTGCTGGCTATTATTGTCATTGGTTTTCTAATTATCCTCTTTCTGGAGACACCCTTTCTCCCCCACTCTTAGCAGCTGTGCTTTAATCTATTTGTCATCTTGGACTTCTGCATAAGGAAAATTCTGAAGCCATGATGTGATCTAAACCCTTCATTTCACCCCTGCCCAGAGTCACCAGGTACCATAACCCCTCCAGATTCTCACTTGGCTCTTGCTCTGGCTGGGCCACTGTCTCCAGTTCCTCTTCCTGTGGGGTGACTGCCTGCTCCTTTACCTCCTTGCTTTCTCCTTTGTCTGCAAGCCAGAAGCAGAAAGAGGCCTCAGCTCCAACCTCACCCCAGCCCTAGCCCTGGCACTCTCCCTTACCCATCTTACCCTCTGGCCAGAGCTTGGGTGGCTGTAGCCCCATGTAAGTCAAAGATAGATCCAGCCGCACCTGGGAAAAGAGGAGAGGCTGAGAGGAGGGCACCTGCACTGAGGGAAAGGAGGAGATGAGGAGTGGCCTCTTGTAGTCCATGGTCCATTACCTGGGGTGTGAAGACATATTTGTAGAGCTTGAAGTGGCGGAAGTAGGTGTTGACCACATAGTCTGCCAGGTTCAGCAGCTGTTCCTCCTTAAAGAGGTCAATGCTGAAGGGGGGCCGCTGTGGTGATGACAGGGTGTTTCAGTACTGACTACCTCCTGAAGCCCTGGCCTTTCTCCAAGAGCCCAACAATCTAGGATCAAGGAGAGCCTATTGTGGCCTTCAGAGGAAGATGAGGGTGAAGGTGCAGGGGATTGGGCTAGACCTTGCCTGGAGGAGGGTGAAGGTTTTGGAATGTTCTGGGGGAACTGACCCTGACTCCATGGCAAAAAAGAACACTGGTAAAGTAGCGGTAGCATTCCTCCACGTTGCCCAAGGGGGTTGCTGGTAGGGAAAGCAAGATGCAGCAGTGAGTCCCCTCTCTTATTCATTCATTCATTTCACTCAATAGCTACTTATGGAGCATGAGCTTCCAAGGTGGACAGATGTAGGTTTAAGTCTTGGCTAGTTACATTAATTCATTCAACAAATACTGAGTAACCACTATATGCTGTTTCAGGCACTGAACAAGACAGACAAGGTCCTGCCTTTATGAAGCTTTATTTTAGCGAAAGTGACATACAATAAACCCAAGAAATGTATAATTTCAGCTATTGGTAAACACAAATAAAATCAGATGGAGAATAAAAGGGGTGGGGGAGGGGAAGCAGGAGCAATTTTATTAAGCAGTAGGCATATATTTACATATATTATTTCTTAGAACAGTCCCATAACATTAGTGCTATATCCTTAATTTATAGATACAGAAACAGGATTTTAAAGGTGATAACTTGTGTGCAATAATGCTACTAGTAATAACAAAGGTCCCGGGTGGTATTCTCGCTACTTCTGCTTCCCATGGTCACATGTGCCAGCCCAACCTCCTCCTCTCCCTGGGGCTCAAACCTTCTGGTAGCTGCCTCCCTCTTACCAACACAGGCCTTGTGAAGATCTTGGAGCAGGGCACAAGCCGTTGATGTCTGCTCCAGTGAGAAGCACTGCTGGCGGCAGAAGATGAGTGCATGGGAGAAGAGGTCCAGGGTGATAGCATCCCGTAGGCTCTGCTCAGGACAGCCTAGCTCTAACAGCTCAGCCAGCACCCTTAGGAGAGAGAGAGGAAGGAGTGAATGACAATGGGAGCCTTCTTTCATCACCCCCTACCCAGCACATGCTTTGGAGCCTGCCATTCCTCATGTCTTCTCAACCCACCCCCCTCACCCTTCCCCAAGAGCTCTTCTCCCTGCTCAGTCCCTACTCCCTCATCTCCTCAATGTTGGCTGTCTTCTCCAGCCGGTGCATGGAATGGATGTCCAGGTACTTCCTGTCGTATGAAAAAAAAAGAAAAAGTATCAGTGGTCTTTACACATTAGTCTCATGACAGGGCTGTGATGGCTAGGGCATCTGACTGGGAATTAGGAGATCTGAGTTTGAAGCCTGGCTTTTTCACTAACTTGCTGTGTAACCTCAGGAAAATTGCTTACCTCTCCGAACCTAAATGTACTCTTACGATCCTCTCCATTTATAAAACCTAGGGTGAGGGATCTTGAGTTCTTTTCCCTGTTCTGCCACTACATTGCTGTATGACCTTGGTCAAGTCACCCCCCCACCCTGTGAGCCTCAGTGTCCCCATTTGTACATTAATCCATAGTGGCTATAATATTCTATTTACACCGCAGACTCTGGCTGTCTTCTCACACAGCCTCCTCTTTGGACTAGAGAGGCTGGAAAGCTGGCTTCTAGCCACCTGATTAATTGCATGTCTGGGCCTTAGTTTCCTTATCTGTAAAATGGGCATGCCCCGGCTACAGGACAGGACTGTTAGGGAGCCACTAAAGGAATAATGCAAGTGTGAAGTGTAACTTTCCTCAAGTCTCTTCACACTCACCACATGCAGATCCGGGGTCGGGGCAGCGGCGGCTGCGGAGAGAAAGCGGATTGGGGAAGGCAGAGCTGTGCTGTCCCTGGCCCGTCGCGAATGTCCAGCGGGCCTAATAACGCGCTATTACTTGCCAGTCATCTGGAGGACTACGTACGAGCAACTCGGGCGGGGCTGGGCTTCAGCAGGCCCTGAGTTCTATTCACAAGCATATTAACAATCAGGGCCACACACCCCCTACCTCTTTTCACCTAGGCAGCCCGGGAAATGTCTCCTATGTTAATAAACATGATAGCATTGGCGCCGTGCAGGGAAACCCTTTTACAAATATTCATGAGCGGACCAGTTTGTCCCGTCCTCACCGGGAACAGGTTGGCTCCAGGATCTTCATCCACTTCCCCGGAGGCGTGGGCCGCCGTTGCCAACTCAGTCCGCACACTTGTTCCGGTCCGTGTGGCCGACCCACACGCAGAGCTGACCTTCCCCGATTCCCGCCGCAGTTCGGAGCGCTGTTCAAGCTCCGACTGCACGCTGACTCGCAGGCATTGGCTGGTTCTCTGGCTGATCATTTTGTCGCTCTTCCGTGCTGCGGGTCTCCACAGGCTCTGTCCAGCCTCGGGTCTAGGGCAGTCGGTTCTCCGGCAGCGACTGCGAAGGCCTGGCCCTAGCCGCGCCGCAGCCAGTCCACGCGGCAGAGAGGCTCCGCGCAGCCAATCCGCGGGGCGCGTCTCCCTCCGTCTCAACGGTGATGGTTGCTAGGGGGCTTGTGAAGGAAGGAAGGAAGTGCAGGCGCGCGCCAATCAGTGAGAAGAGAACGTGCATTCGTAATAAGTTGCGAATGCCCACCTGGGTGCTCTCCCTTCAAAGTTGCTAACAGGAGGTTGGCGCTGTCCTCTGAGTTGGGAAGTGGGTGTGCGGTGTCAGTTACCATGGGAACTGTCTACTGGCCAATCACCGAAAGAAAAAGGAGATGTTCGGGAAGAAACCAAACGGCCCAGGAGGTGGGACCAAGCGTGACCAATAGGATCAGGAGATAAAGAGGTTTCGCCACATCCGGCTCTGCCTTTGGCGCCTGCGCTCTGCGAGCGGGAGGCCGCCGACGTCCGGGGAAATCGAAGATGGCGGCACTAGGCTGACCCTACTGTGGGTGAGGGCCCTGGGGCCGGAGGGGGCGGGATCCAGCAGGTGTGTGCCGGGCGGGCGGAGTTGGGGGCTGTGGAGCGCCAGCCGCTTCCACATCTCTGCTCTCTGTCTTCTGCAGGTGACGGAAGCGCCGTCTCCTCCCGCCTGACGCTCCTGGGGGACCCTGCGCCGCTCCTCGCTGCCGCGGCCATGTCTGGGCCCGGCAACAAACGCGCCGCCGGCGACGGGGGCTCAGGGCCCCCAGAGAAGAAGCCGAGTCGCGAGGAGAAGACCACAACCACTCTCATAGAGCCCATTCGTCTTGGAGGCATCTCTTCCACGGTTCGTGGGCTCTTGCCCTATCCGTTAGAACTTGTCGGACTTTTGTTTCTGTTCTCCGCCAAAGAGTCTTACTCCCAGTTCCCCAAGCGATTTACGGAACACTCTGTTGGAGGAAACCGAAAACACGACGTCTGCTTTCTCTTTGCAGATAGGATAACATTTTCCCAGGGAGCGAGTGACTTGTCGAAGACTAAGGAGTTAGAAAGGGCCGGGTAGAAACGAACATGAGCTTCCTCACTTTTGCTGGGGTGTCTGAGCTTCTTTAAATTCTTTTAGAAGTTAATATGGGAATCCCCCCATCTTCCATCCATTCCAGTTGCTCTCCTTCTCTGTCTCTCTCAATGACTGGTTTCTGGGCCCTGCTTGACCCTTCTCTCAGTCCCTTTGTTTCCTTTGGTAGGAGGAGATGGACCTGAAGGTACTGCAGTTCAAGAACAAGAAGCTGGCAGAGCGGTTGGAACAGCGACAGGCTTGTGAAGATGAACTCCGAGAACGAATTGAGAAGTTGGAGAAGCGGCAGGCCACAGATGATGCCACACTCCTTATTGTCAATCGCTACTGGGCCCAGGTGGGTGCCCTCTGTTTTCCAAGACCTGGCCTTAATTCAGTTGCCAATCCTCAGATTCCCCTGCTGGGAAAGGAATATCATACTGTAAAGCACTGAGGGATTCATAACATTTTTGATGCTTTCTCTTTTCAGTTGGATGAAACTGTGGAAGCCCTTCTCCGATGCCATGAGAGCCAGGGAGAGCTGTCTTCGGGGACAGAGGCGCTTGGGACCCAGGAGGGGCCAACACGTGATGGGACCCCTCTCACCGAGCCAGGGACATCAGAGCTGAGGGGTAGGACCACAGTCCTAGGATATGGGGAGCTTAAGTTTTGGGAAAGGTCCTGGGGAGGACTTTGATACTGGGCACCAGAATTTCCTGCCTTACTTTATACCCTCCGCCCCCACCTGCCACTGATTTCTTGTTTGGGTGGCAAAGTGCAGTGAGTAAGGACATAGGCTTTGGAATCTAACTCGGTTCATAGTGCAGTTCATGTTTTGACACCCATTTTGTTCAAGAAAGTATTACTATTGAATGTTGACTATGTATTTGGCACTGTTCTAGATTCAGAGACATCAAAGACAAGCTGAAAGAAATATTGTTCCTGCTATCAGGGAGGAAATGATTATAAACCATAATACATAAAAAGTGTTAGGGCCCCTGAAAGGGAATAAATGTGTGTGCACATGTTTGTGTGTTTTTAATTTAGACTGGGAAGGCAGAGAAGGCTTCCCTGAGGAAGTGATTTGGCAGCTCTATAGCCTTGAGGCAGCTCATTACCTCTGTGAATCCCAGTTGTTTCACTTTCAAGATGGGGATAACAGTGCACCACAGGTTGTGTTGATTAACCCAAGAATGTGGAATCTGGAACTTGGTATAGGGTGGTGGTAACTGCTGCTGTTATCCTTATGAGGATCTGTCCATCCCTCCCAGAGCCTCTGCCAATGCAGCTGCGGCCCCCTCTCAGTGAGCCAGCCTTGGCTTTTGTGGTAGCACTGGGTGCCAGCAGCAGTGAGGAGGTAGAGCTGCAGCTGCAAGGCCGTATGGAGTTCTCCAAGGCAGCTGTGTCCCGTGTGGTAGAGGCATCAGACCGCCTACAGCGCCGGGTGGAGGAACTCTGTCAGCGAGTATACAGCCGAGGTTGGTTCTTTGTTACCTCCACCCCAGAGGTGTCCATCCCCATCTGGATCTTTATGGCACTGCTTTCCCAATTCCTCTGATTCCCTGAGCCCATAGACAGCCAGAATTCCCCAAGGAATAATTCATCCATGTTCTTGGGGGAATGGGTTAGATAGGGGTCTGACTCCTGGAGTTGAACTCTGGAGAGATGAGTTGGACAAGTTGTTGATGCTGGTAGGGCCTCCCCCTACTAGCTAGAGACCACTATGGAGCACTTTTTGCATGTAGCTGATTCACAAGGCATAGTAGCAAGTGCTCAGGCTTTGTAGGTTGACAGGCTTCTGCCAGTATTAGTTCTCCTACTCTACCTGGGGCATTCTGGGCAAATGGTTCCCCTCTCTGAGCTGGTTTCGTCTTCTGTATAGTGGGGATAAAGACTCCTGACTTTGTCATGAAAAATTGGCAAAATATCTAGTGGATCACACTGGACACGTAGCAGACTCCATTATGAGTTAGTACTTGGCCCCACTGCCCTGAGCTTGCCTCTCACCTGCCTTGCCCTGCCTTCCCAGGGGAAAATGAGCCCTTCAGTGAGGTGGCTCGGGCACGCACCCGGGAGCTGGGCCGTGAGAACCGGCGGCTACAGGACTTGGCCACCCAGCTGCAGGAGAAGCATCACCGCATCTCGTTGGAGGTAGTAGTCAGGGGCTTTTGGGGTGGGATTGGAACCAGGGCAGGGTTTAGGTTAGATGGGCACCCAAGGATCTCAGGGAACCAGGTCCTCCATCCAAGCATCTGTTCCCTCCGTTCCCCCCCAGTACTCTGAACTCCAGGATAAAGTGACATCAGCGGAGACCAAGGTGCTGGAGATGGAGACGACGGTAGAGGACCTGCAGTGGGACATTGAGAAGCTGCGCAAGCGGGAGCAAAAGCTCAATAAGCACCTGGCAGAAGCCTTGGAGCAGGTAGGGTTGAGGTTCTGGGGCACATGGAGCCAGGGCTGGGTGCTCAGGGCACCTTCTTCTCTCCTTCATATCCATCAACTGTCTTCTCTCCACAGCTTAACTCTGGCTACTATGTCTCTGGGAGCTCCTCAGGCTTCCAGGGGGGCCAGATCACACTCAGCATGCAGAAGGTGAGTAGGGGCATTCCTCCTCAACGCTCCTGTAACCTTTTCTCTTTTGCACCCTTGACATTCCCCTAAAGATGAAGGACAAACATCTTCCTCCAAGGCCCATCCCCGTCACTTCTGCTGTTCTTTCTTTTATACATTCATGTACTTATTTAGTAAATAATTTCTGAACACTAAATGTTAGAAATAAACACTAGGCATATTGGAAAGAACAAGATAGACAAAAACCAAAGCTTCCAAGGAGCTTAGGTTCCAGGTGGGGGAACAGACAAGTAAAATAGGACATCAGTTGGTTATGAGTACCATAAAGAAGCACAGAAGATACATGGGAGTATGTTAGAGTTTATTGGCATTCTGGGGGTCACTATGCACTGTTTTACCTTTATTGGCTATTTAGGCCTTCCAGGAATGCTTCCCTGACTCCCTATTAGTTAAGAGCCTTAGATCTCGGCACTGTCCATGTAATACTGAATTTTCTCCCACTTGCCTGGGAACCCTTAGGAAAGCCCTTGGTTTGGGGCTTCGGAATTGATCACTGCCCTACACAGGGGAGCTTGGGTGGAATACATGTGGGGAGGTGAGGCAAGCATGCTGCTGGACCTGGCCCCTGCCGACCACAGCACCTCCCACTTCTTAGTTTGAGATGCTGAATGCAGAGTTGGAGGAAAACCAGGAATTGGCCAACAGCCGCATGGCAGAACTGGAGAAGCTGCAGGCTGAACTTCAGGGTGCTGTGCGGACCAATGAGCGTCTCAAGGTGGGCTGTGGTTGGGGCTGAGAAGGCCTGTGCCTATAGGTAGAGGCTGAGCCCTGAATGCTCTTGCTGATCTCTTTTTGGCATCCCAACCCCTAGGTGGCCCTGCGGAGCCTTCCTGAGGAGGTGGTGCGGGAGACAGGGGAGTACCGCATGCTGCAGGCCCAGTTCTCGCTGCTCTACAATGAGTCTCTGCAAGTGAAGACCCAGCTGGATGAGGCTCGGGGGCTACTGTTGGCCACCAAGAACTCCCACCTGAGACACATTGAGCACATGGAGGTATGGCCCTGTAACGGGGTAGTGGTAGGGGTTGGGGGTAAGAGCCAAACCCTTAGTGTGAAGGCATTCCTGGGCTTCAGAGGCCCCATCTGCCTGCCACGTGTCTCTTGGGAATAGATTCTTCCTAGGACACTGAGTCCTGAGGTGGTGATGAGGGTTTGTGTGGATCCTTAATGCTTCAACCCACAGAGCGATGAGCTAGGGCTGCAGAAGAAGCTGCGCACGGAGGTTATCCAGCTGGAGGACACACTGGCCCAGGTACGCAAGGAGTACGAGATGCTGCGCATCGAGTTTGAGCAGAACCTGGCAGCCAACGAGCAGGCGGGTATGTGGTGAGGATAGGGTGGAGGTGGGTCCTTATCTGGGAGTACTGGGTCCTGGTGTGGGCTGCTGCTTGGCCAGATGCAAGAGATGAAGCGTCTTTCACGGACCTCAGCTGCTCCCTGTGGAAAGCGAACCACACTGCCTGGCTCACAGGCAGTGAGGGTCATAACCAGTTGAAGTAGCTGATGACACAGGAACAACCAGAACATGAGCTGTTGGCCCCATTTGTGGTCCTCTG